TCAAATTTTGGATCATTTCAGATTTTCGGATTAGGGATAGCCAACCTGTAAAAATAAGTTTTAATAGTACTTATTTATGTTTTTTGAGACAGAGTCTCGCACTGTCACCGGGGCTGGAGTGCAATGGCATGATCTTGGCTCACTGCAAGCTCGGCCTCCTGGGTTCAGGCGATTCTCCTGCCTCAGCCTCCCGAGTAGCTGGGATTACAGGCATGTGCCACCACACCCAGCTAATTTTTTTATTTTTAGTAGAAATGAGGTTTCTCCATCTTGTCAGGCTGGTCTCCAACTCTTGACCTCATGTGATCCGCCTACCCTGGCCTCCCAAAGTACTGGGATTATAGGCATGAGCCACTACGCCTGGCCGAAAAAACTTTTTAAAAAAAAGTTGCGGGTGCTAGACTACAGCTTTGTGTGTGAGAGCCAGGTAGCAGTCCCTTTTAAAGCTCCCAAGTTGATTGCTAGGTGCAACTTCACAGTTTTCTGAGTGAGAAGTATGGAGAAGGTAGGCTGACTGCACTGATGTACTGCTGCCCTTCAAGGAAACCCATTATATAGCTGTTGTCAACCTTTATTCCACCACAAACCATGTAAGATAGTAGCACATTCCCACCGGTAATAGTGGTTTGTTCATCCATTCAGATTTTTTTTTTTTTTCTCGCTCTGTCACCCAGGCTGGAGTGCAGTGGCCAGATCTCAGCTCACTGCAAGCTCCGCCTCCCGGGTTCACGCCATTCTCCTGCCTCAGCCTCCCCAGTAGCTGGGACTATACGCGCCCGCCACCTCGCCCGGCTAGTTTTTTGTATTTTTTAGTAGAGACGGGGTTTCACCGTGTTAGCCAGGATGGTCTCGATCTCCTGACCTCGTGATCCGCCCGTCTCGGCCTCCCGAAGTGCTGGGATTACAGGCGTGAGCCACCGCGCCCGGCCTCATCCATTCAGATTTTTATATCCCATACTGAGTTAGGTGCTAGAGAAACAACTGGGGAGGAATACACTCACGAGCCCCATCTTCATAGGACTCACAGTTTAAAGTGTTCAATATGGCAGTGACTCGCCAAGGGAAGTAGGACATAGATTTTTAAGGGACACATGAAAATCTCAGGGGTAGGGGGAAGAGAGGGAGATGTAGGTGGTAAATATAGACCCCAGGAGTTTGCCCCTGGTACCAGCAGCCATGTCTAGCAGGGAAATGGGTTCAGCAGTGGCCTTCTTCAGGTGCATCTACATAAGATTTTGACCATTTCCCCATTCTTCCTAGGCTATGATCATGAAACCAGTGATATACTGTTAGATTTTCATAAAACTTAAATTTTTATAACTCTGTGGAAGATCTGGATAGTGAATCAACATTGATCTCTGGCAGAACCCAGCTCAATTACTACCTGAGCATAATCCAAAGTTGGAAACTCACACAATTTCCTTCACAAGGGTCAGCAAACATGTGGAAAGCTACTATCTATGTATATATGTCTATTCTTGATAAATCAATAGCAAATAGCTTTGGGAAAAATAACTACATATTTGAGGGGAGTTAGGCCACCACCTTACTCCATATAACAAAATAAATTCCACATAGGTTTAAAAATAAAATGCTTGAGGGCCGGGCGTGGTGGTTCATGCCTGTAATCCCAGCACTTTGGGAAGACGAGGTGGGCAGATCACGAGGTCAGGAGATCAAGACCATCCTGGCTAACATGGTGAAACCCCGCCTCTACTAAAAATACAAAAAAAAAAAAATTAGCC